TACGCTGGTACAGGGGGAAACCTTGCCCCAGGGTTCCTTCTCTATCATGTAACACAGGAATGGCATAACACAAGTATTTAAAAGAAAAAAAATGTACGAATGCAGACTTATTTTCTCTTGAGGTAGTTTTTTTGCCAATTTTCACAACCCCTGGCATGCCTTTATGTCACCTGAAAAGAAAGCCCCGGGATGGCACTAACCTGCCGGCTGTGATTTAATTTATTTTCCTTCTTGAGGACTAGTAGAAGATCAGCTATGAAGGCTGGTGGATGCTGGCTTCTAGTCTTTCTAGGTGTTCTGCAAGTGGGAGATCTGGAAACAGAGCCTGCCTTGCTGAAAGGTATACCAAAGTTGCCTCCCTATTTATTAGATATAATCCCCAACTTACAACCATTTGTTTAGCGACCGTTCAAAGTTACAATGGCATGGAAACAAGTGATGTACCTCTAATCCTCACACAGCTCTTGCAACTTCCCCACGTTCACATGATCCAAAATACATACATTTGGCCACCAGCATGTATTTATGACAATTGCAGCCTCCTGGGATTATGTGGCCCTCATCTGCAACTTTCCCAGCCTGCTTTTGGCCAGTAAAGTCAATGGGGGAAGTTGGTTTTGCTTAACCGTGTGATTCACTTAACAACCATGGGCAAGTCAGGCACGACTCTCTTAGCAACTATCTTGCTTAGCAATGTTGGCTCCAAGTATGGTCCTAAGTCAAGGAAAACATGTAGAATAGAATAGAATAGAATAGAATAGAATAGAATAGAATAGAATAGAATAGAATAGAATAGAATAGAATAGAATAGAATAGAATAGAATAACAGAGTTGGAAAGGACCTTGGAGGTCTTCTAGTCCAACCCCCTACTCAAAGGATAACCTATACCAGGGGTAGGCAATCTTGGCTCTTTTATGACTCATGGACTTCAACTCCCAGAATTCCTGAGCCAGCATGGCTGGCTCAGGAATTCTGGGAGTTGAAGTCCACAAGTTATAAAAGAGCCAAGGTTGCCTACCCCTGACCTATACCATCTCAGACAAGTGACTGTCTAGTCTCTTTTTAAAAATCTCCAGTGATGGAGCATCATGATTTCTGGGGGCAATCTGTTCTATTAGTTAATTGTCCTCACTGTCAGGAAGTTTCTCCTTAATTCCAGGTTGCTTCTCTCTTTGATCAGTTTCCAGCCATTGTTTCTTGTTCTGCCCTCTGGTGCTTTAGTGAATAACGTGATCCCCTCTTCTTTGTGGCAGCCCCTCAAATACCGGAATACTGCTATCATGTCTCCCCTATTTCTTCTTTCCTTTAGACTAACCAAACCCAAGTCCTGCAGCCGTTCTTCGTATGTTTTAGTCTCCAAGCCTTTGATCATCTTAGTTCTTCTTCTCTGAACTTTTTCCAAACTCTCAACATCTTTTTTTTTTTCATATGGTGATCAAAATTGGTTGCAGTATTCCAGGTGTGGTCTTACTAGGGTTTTATAAAGCAGTACTAATACCTCACGTGATCTTGATTCTATGCCTCTGTTTAGAATGTAGATTTACATGGTCTCTTGTGTTGCAGAATTCAAGGCTATGCCCAGCACAGTCCCTCTTTCTGATTTTCTCCCCCCTAACAACCAAGTATAGATTGGACAGACCGGTCCAATGTGACCGATCTAAAGCCAGCCAGAGGTCTTCTCTGGCTAATGGTAGATTAGAACTTGGGTTTTGCCACTCCTAGTTCAAATCCTGAAACAGAACAGTTTACGTGTGAACGAGAAGCACACGTAAACTGTGATTTAGTAAGATACTGTTACGGAATGCTGGATTAAGAGCCATGGTGGCGCAGTGGTTAGAATGCAGTATTGTAGGTTAACTCTGCCCACAGCCAGGCGTTTGATTCTCACCGGTTCAAGGTTGACTCAGCCTTCCATCCTTCTGGGGACTGAAATGAGGACCCAGATTATTGGAGGCAATGCTATTGCTATAAATAGGAGCCATGGTGGCACAGTGGTGAATATTGCAGGCTGATTTTGCTCACTGCCAGAAGTTCGATCCTGACCGGCTCAAGGCTGACTCAGCCTACCTTCCTTCCGATAAAATTAGGACCCAGATTTTTGGGAGCAAGAGGCTGACTGTAAACCGCTTAGAGAGGGCTGTAAAGCTCTGTGAAGCGGTATAGAAGTCTAAGTGCTATAAATGTGATACGGCTGGGCTCGAACCAGAGGTAAGGTTGAAATGCATGTGTGCTCCGCTACGCCAGGGGTCCCCAACCCACGGCCCACTACTGTTTGGAATCGGGCCACATGAGAGGCGGGCCAGCGTGCACC